AAGATCCCTTGCTCCCTGTAATGCCGGCTGCTGGAAATGACGAAGGTTCAAGGCTCATCTTGTAACTCTGAGCTTCGTGCATTACTTTATCGTTCATTTCGGTTACTTTCTTAAGCCAAAGGTCTTGCTGAGCAATAATTTTTTCAGGATTTTCCGTTTTTCCCGCTAACCTAATTAATTGCTCATTGACGTCGACAGCTTTTTCCAACGCAATTTTACATTTGTAAACAGCATTATCAATTTTTGTAGTGCGACTATTATTCTCAATGTACTCAAGTAATAATGAGTGACCTTTAAGCAGCTCATTTTCTAGATTTAGACGGGTTTCGAATAACTTGCGTATCTTACTTTGGAATTTTTCGTCCATGTTTTTCACAAATTGACAATATTCTACGGATGCTCACTTATAGAAAACAATCAAAAAATTGAGATACTGTTTTGGTACGTAATCAAATTTGCATTAGTAAATCAACATTAGCTTACAAGACGGGGGAACTTGACGTCTCAAAGCTTCTACCTGAAGCCTATTTCTTATAGCTTTCCGAGCTTTGAGGGGTAAGCGGTTTCGCTTCTTACGTGTCTTAAGGATGTTAAGATTAGCGCTATAACGCCTTAGAAGGAGGAGAGTCTTTAACTCAAGGGAAGGAGGCTGGTGAAGCTCTTTGTACTTCTCAATTAGTACCTGGTCCTTAGCCTTACGCTTAGAGATAAAGTCTTTAACGACGTTGAGAACGAGAATACCTGTTGAACCTAAACTTTCCTCTATATCCTCGGTTCCGTTCCGTCTACAGTATACGATCGCACAAATGTTTGTCCTATACCTTAATAACAAATTGACAAGTTGCTCACTACTCAGCTTGCGGTTATTGTTGCTGCGGTGCCTACTTATCGAGTTATTAATGGCGTCGTGCCAAATTACAAGGTCGTTACGGTGCGACAAGTAGTGATGAAGGTAGTACTGTATCGTTTTCTGAGAGTCCCTAGCGTTAAAGTTCAAACTTAAACCTGGCTTCGTAAAGCAAGTATCTTTGACGCGCTTCTGGGACGGAGAGGGAAGTTTTCGGAGCGCGTGATCCAAAGAACTAGCTCCTAGAATGAATACCATACACTTAGGGGACCTATGCGACGGCTTCGTTACGCTTAAATACCAATGGGGTTGGAAAATTAAGTAGGTCGGTTGAACTCCAACAACACACACGGAGTAAACCTGAGGATGAAAGAATTCAACTTAACTCACTTAATATCACCGTACCTGACCACTTAACTTTACTGTCACGCAACGAAGTCAATAATCTGACGGGCTGAAACGGCTTTGTTTTACTCGAAGCGAACTGGCTTTCAGTTTCACCAATGGTGGGTGGGGGATCAGGCAAATTGGTTAAGTTCCAACAACACACGCGGAAGAAACCTGAGGATGAAAAAACTCAACTTAATTTGCCTGATGTTTCGCTACCAGACCACTTAACATAAGGTTGGTGTCATCTTACAGCACAGTTTCGCTGAATTCTGGAGACGTTTTGAGGATTTTTTGGCAATTTTTTTACTTTTTATACAAAATTTTTCAGAAAATTTTGGTCAGCAGGTTCGAGACATAAACCAATCCAAAAAACTAGTCCAGTACCTCTTGTCTATGTTCCGATTTCACTGATTAATAGTCCGTTCACATATATCCAAAAATTTTTGGTATCGAGAAAAATGTCAAGTCAGTTTGTCTATGTACCGACTGTAGAATATTTCAGTTCAACGGAACTGTCCAAAATTTTTTGGGTATCGAGAAAATTACCGGGGGCTAGCTTGCGGGAAAATTTCTATCATAAATGACATCGTATTTAAATTTATAGCACAATTGGAGTTTTAAAAGTTTTGGAAACTTCTTACAGTTTTGGAGATTGGGCGATCACCAGTTTCGGGTTGTCAGATTTTCTTTGTTTTTGGTCAGCCGCAGAGAAATTGTCCAGCAATCACTTCTCAAACTCACACAAAACGTCTGCAGTTGACAGGGCACTCGACAGTCGACAGTCAGAATACCTGTTTGTATCTCATTAGTTCACTCTAAACTCTAAATAGTGTCACTCAGGATACTGTCATTAAGAATTAAGAATACTGTCACTCGAATCCAACGTCGTGAAAAAAAAAGGTTTCGTGTGTATACTACAATTCTCAAATTTAGCAGAAGTGTCCAAAACTGCAGAGCTGTCTTGAGTGGACTTTTGGGATGGGAAGAACTTAGAGATCTAACGGGAGAGTAAGCAGCCTCCCCGTCTGACACAGTGCCCGAAAGAGGATGGGTGGAAGCCTTGTATTTCTTCCTCAAATCTCCCTTGACCCCGCACAGCCGAGATATGCCCCCTTCGAAGTGCTTCTGTCCCGTCTGTTGGATGGGTCTGCAGAGGTGGAGTAGTGGTCAATAACAGGGGGCGGCGAGCGGGCTCTTCGTCTGTCTCTTGTTAATAAAAATAAATGTCCCTTGTGGGGCGCCAAAATATGCTCGCTAATCTCCAAACGAAAATAATTGAATCCAAGTTCGTAAATTAATATGAGATATTTATCGGTAAATAATTCAAGCAATAGATAAATTTCGGTATTTTTCTATTGATCAGGACATCATACAACATTTTTAGCATCTGTCAGTTTTTGGTACAAATCGGCGCAAGCTAGCCACAAGAACCGGTCGGTAATGTCCTTGAGACAAATTGCTCTTTTTGGCGGTCAACCTTAATCAAGGCTGAACCGAATTAGAACCAAAAAACAGTTAAAATAGGAAGTAACCCCCGTTTTTAGTATATTAATACATGGGCAGGTGGGGGACTCGAACCTACGTCAACTGTTGTTTCACACATATAATCGGCGTTAGCTTACTTTGTCTTAGTCCGCTTGGCCAACTGTGCTTATTTTATATGCATCTATACTCTTGTTTTATTCTACATTTGCATTGCAACATTTAATTTTTGCTGAAATATAGCGGAATAGTGGAATTTGCCTTCCCTTTAATAAAAGAATGAATCGAACTTGAGAGGAAATTAAAAATTGGACAGAAAAAAACCAAATTTGGACAGGAGCAAATTTCGAGACTTTTTTCTGAAAAAAAATCATTAAGACCTATACACGAGTCTTCACAACGATCATTGATAAATTACAAAATCGCAAAAATCATGTAATAAACTATGAAGAATGAAAAAAATTGCCACCATACTGAATTCAACCCTGCAAACTACTGAGTCTTATATGTTGCGCCATAAGCTCTTACTGTTTTCTATGCACCCGCCATCAATAACGGATAGAACACATACATAGGAAACCCATCAACAATACACATATACTGAAAATGAGCACTTGTGATGAGGAAAAATTTTTTTTCCAGTTAGGGTGGAAAAGTAATTTAGAGTTCGTCCAAATCGAGAAAAACAATCTACCCCACACGTGGTTCATTGTCAAAATACCAACCAAGTCAGAACACAGCCCCGAGATATAATATGTCTGAAAATCCATAAAATATTTACAAAATAACTACAGGGTGTTTCATAACAAGTTTTTCATAAATTTTTTCTTTTCACAAACTTTTGGGCTATTGAAGAGATTTTTCACAGTTAACGGCAAAACTTGCCGAATTCTGAAGATTCAATTAATTTAGCTGGATAGGTTTTTTTGTTCACGCGTGTTTTTGCGTTTTATTGAGTTTTGAGCTATCAAGCTTTTATAGCACTGATATAAAAAAAACGGATAAAACAGAATTCAAACGAAATGTTCAAATTCACATATTTCAAATTCGGTTAGCTTTTGATTTAAAACAGAGGGGAAAAAATAGTTTGAATTTTTACCAGAAGTTTCAAGGTGCAAATTATTTTGCGGAATTTCAAACCAAAGTTATACCCACAAATCTGATCAATTCAATAAACCTAGAAAACATTCGTTAGCAAAAATTAATCCAACTTAATGAAATATATCATCAGACTCGTCAAACTTTTGCTGCCTGCTGCAAACAAAGTCACTTCAAAAGCCTAAGTACTTGTAAAGTGAGAGATTTTTTAAAAAATTTGATTTGAAAACACCCTGTAAATCTGATTTATTTCTGTTCTCTATTGGGCAAGACAACAAAAACAAAGATCAAGAGGGAGGAAAAATTATCAAAACTTCAAAAACGAAAAACATTAAAAATATCATAAGTTTTACAACGAGTCCGAAACATCAACAATTTGTATGACACAAAGGCGAAGCAGAGCCTCACTCCACTTGCGATACGAGGCAAAAGCATTGCAAGCTAGCAGACAAAATTAAAACTAAAGGCACTATGTGGAAAAAAAATGAAAAAAATTCAATGACAATTTTTTAAAATTTTGTCTCGAACGATTTTCAATTTGAGGAAAACACAACCAGCAAAAAAAACGCCTACGTAAGAAAAATATTCAGAAACATTTATCGAACGGCAGCAAAGCCAAAAAAAAATCACTGCATTAACTCCCGTTGAGTTATCAATTGTTGCCATGAAAAACTTAAGCTATAATTTTTCGTTTTCAGCTTTTAACACGTTTACCGCTTTGTTTCCGGGGGGGGGGGGGGGCAAAATTGGTCAGTCATTAAGTCAATAAAATATAAGCCGAGACCACTTCGGCCGAAGAAAGCTTTTGGGCAAAACAAAATTAAAATCAGGGCTAGTAAGCATACAAATTACAGTAAATCAAAACCACTTGTAGCTACAAGGAAAATAGTTTACAGATGTGATTATTAACTTTGTTATGATTCGATGACCGAAAAGGAGATCTATTTGTCATTAGATATGTTAACTTTCTTCTAGCCCCCCCCCCCCCCCACTTTGCTTTTTTCCGAAGATCAATCTACGGAACACTATTACAAAATGATTTTTGATGTTCTAATTTGCAATAAAACGTGCCAGTGTGAACAAGTTCTTACAATTTTTCTAACATGCAGATCACCGCATGAACAGTTTTTATGTTGTAATTTCACAAAGGGGTGGGAAACTGCAAAAGAGCTGCTATATTTACCAGAATGCGACCATTGCGGCTGTGGCGTGAACATCCTCGTCAACGGTCTCCTGGAAAGAGGCTACCATGGAGAGAGTGAGACTGGCGGTGAGGACTAGGAGGAGACAGACGAAGTTACACATCCTCAGACACACACACTCCGCCCCCATGTACTCCTTCGTCTGCAGATACCTACAAGTGTACATACAAAACACGCCAATCATCACACGTTTAACACCATCAGGGGGGATCTAGTATTTTCTCGATTTTTTTTGGTCGAACAAATTGATTTTCCGAGCTCTCCCAGAGCAATAAAAAGGCCTTGTTTTGGCCAAACACCGTATCATCGTTATCATAATCATCATCAGCTTTCCTCACCCCCCCCCCACCTGCGAATTTTTACAATCTACCTTTTTGTTCATGTCCTGTTGTTACAAAAATTGGCATACAGGACATATTAAGCTATGACAAACATATTTAGTCAACGTACTAAACCTGTTAAAACCCCTCGTTGCAACACAAAAGTGATGCTTATGTGAGGTGACGGTGCAGAAAAAAGAGCCTCATAATCACTATCTTCGTTTTCATCATAACATCATAAGACACAGATGCGTAGCTGTAATTCGCAAACACAAGCGATAAAACTGAAATGTAGCTCTATAAAAGGTTAAAAAGTGAAATGAGAAAAAAAAATTTAGACTTGGCAGGAATCCAACCCCCGCCTTGAAGAGTTTTTGCCGCATCAGCGTCAATATAATAATTGAAAAGCAAAGACTCAGATTATATTGATTTTCTTTGACACCGAAAACATTAATTCCGAATTTTTAGTGCAATCCGAATTAATTTTTACATATAATTATGATTACTTCTTTGAAGAAGACTATCCTACGCAAACTAATTGAGATCTGAAAGATCTGATCTCCTCAGAATTATTTTTTTCATTCCGAAAACGAAATAGCCGGCGAATTTGTTCTCGGGTGTGCGATTTTGCCAATTAAAATCGGGTAATTAACCTATCATGCCGTTCGAGGTAAAGTTAAGTATCACATCAATGCTTTCCCGTTTCAGTCGTAACTCAGACTGCAACTACAATTTCTGAAACGATAATCAAAAAATTTCCTTGAGAAAAGTGGATAAATAATTAAAACTTATTCCTTTAAATTTGAAAATTGGAATCCACGTTGGAAATTGCAAATCGACCATAATTTTTGCGCCAATTCCGCTTCCGTAAATAAAGATTGCAGTTTACCCTAATTATAGCAGGTTAATTTAAAATTAACTCAAAAAATGCATATATAACTAAGTGCATTCATAAATAAATTAATATGTATGAGTGCTTTTCTGGTTTAAAACTTATTCTGAAAAAAAAATCACTAAGACCTTTATAAGAACCTTCACTGCTCTTATGGACTCTTAAACACTAGAAAATACAAAAACGATAAAAGGCAAACTAGATATCATAATTTTCAATTAAAAGAAAAACCGAAAACTCAGAAGAAAACCAGAAACTCTAAAGCAACTTTGACATCGTTTCAAAAATTGTATTTGAAAAATAAACTACTACAAGGTTTATTTGAATTTTCAAGAAACTGAGCATGTCAGCCTGCACAAATCGTTTCTTACAGATTTGTGCGAAAGTTCGTTTACGGGAAAAAGTCTAGTTCACCGTCAAAAGTACACTTGCTCTTGCAAGTGAAATGAAAATCAATTGCCATCGAACTTGCTGTGATCCAGAAATAGGACAAAACAATTTTATAATGATTTAAGTAGTAAGTAATTGCTGAAACTCAGATTTAGCCCCTGCTGCCAACTTCTCATATGAAAATTTTAAAATTTTCAATGATGTATAAAACTATCCCTCATTATTTTGACAAAATTTGCATTCAATTAAGCGGCTGGCTGTAGAATAAGGATAATTATTTCTCCAGGACTGTTCTCTTTCACTTAATTGCAGCGCAAGTGGTCCCTTGTGTAGTGAATTCAGTGGGACAACCGAGATAAATTTCTATCTACAGTCCCGAAAGGGTTGAGTTGGTGGCAAGTATCTTTTAACAAAAAAAAATTGCATGCCCCTTATTTCGCTACTCCAAAAACTGTATCGTCCGCATCAGCAACAATTTTCAATAATAACTAATTTCAGATAGAGGTCTCTAAAGCGGAATATAATCTAGTATTCTAATAAAAAGAAAAGGGCCCGCGAATTTTAAACAATCACAAAATTGCAAATGAACCTACCGGCACGCTCTCCCGAGAGAGCCCAAATAAACAATCACTCGTTCACTGACAAACTTGTCATCTTACCTATCTTCACTTTTAAATAACTACCTGTAAAAATCAATTAGCCTCACCTTCAGCATTAGCGTTGCACTTGCAGACCGACTCTTCTCTAATTTGCTTAAATGGTCTCATTAACTTTGAAAACCAACGATCCAAGTGTAATTAAAAAGCCTCCCAGGGACTTTATTCTTTTAACCCGTTGGAAATACTGCCTCCCAAGGCTAGGAAGAGGTTCTTTCTCTTCTTCTTAAGCATCAGAATTTCATATCTATACTCTATTTCAATTCCGATCTTCTAGCTATCAGGGCAGGTAGTTCGTCTAGTGGTGGTCCAATTACGCCAAAATGAAACCTCTGGGGAGCTTATTAAATAACCCATCCATTTATATTATTCAGAAGACTTAGTTTCCCCCGTTCTGCACTCACATTTGTGCCAATTTTCTCTGGAACTACTTTTAGTTGGTCTAGTTAAAAAAAACTATTAATAGCTAAATTATCGCAGCTAAGTTCAATCCAATGGTTGCCAAAATTTTCGAGAGCTATTCCAATTTATCTTCTGCATCCTTTCCCAATTAAAAAAGTTTCCTCCAAATTATACATTAGGTGTTCTAATCTACTTTTCCAGGAATAGGGCTGTGAGAAATGCCAATTTCCAGTGTTCATTACGGGATTTGCCATGCAATGTGATCCTAAACACCAAAACATCATTTTAAGGTCACCCTGGGGTCAATCTTCCATATTTTGGGTAAAGTCCCACGGGGGTTCTACCTACCAAGTTTTATCCATATCCCATTAGTACATCCCAAGTCCATTCCTTTCTAACGTCCAGTATCACTTTTCCCGGCAAGGGCTATTAACACCGAAAAGAGTCGCCGGAAGAATTTTAATCACAAGTTTCTCTTTCTTGGGCTTCATATCTAGCGTCTATTGTCGCAACAAAATTCATCTTATCTCACTTGTTATTTGTCGTAAATTGTCCATTTCCTGTCTAAGGGGTGTTTTTCATAAGTGCTAGTAACTTTCGGTCCAACCGCCGGTTTTGTTGCAAATTCCAACACATGATTGATGTACTTTTCCGGAAGTCGAGGTGGGGAATAATTACTTAGGGCATAACGTCGGAAGTAGGGATTCAGGGAGTGTGGGGTTCTAAATTTAAGCTTCCCTCAACTGGGTCTGTAACATACTAAATGTTGGCCCAATTTCAACCGCTATTTGCTGGGTTCAATAGGGCGATTTGCACTTCCGAAAACAGATATCATTTGGAACAGGGGGGTTCGAGGGGTCTGGGTTTTTGCATGCCCGGGTCGAATCATCTTCAGTATCCATCCAATGCAATCCCTCCATTTCAGCCACAGGAGGGACTACATCTTTGAAGGTTCAAACTATTTTGGTGTCGACCATTTGTTAGCTTTACTAATTAAATTAATTATTAGTGAATACCAAGTTACGCACTGCTAATTAGTTTTAGTATGATGCATGCAATTCCAAGTCAAATTCTTAGCTTGCCGAATTTGCATTAGAATCAACGAGCCTACACTTGCGATGGAAAAAAAATTGGCCGCAAGGTGTAACACAAAGCGCACAAGCTCGCTCGGAGTGTTATAAATCTGTGATCTGTATTCAAAAATTACAAAAGTTATAACCCTAACAAGAGCCCATAGAATTTCGAAGCCGGATCATTCACCTGACAACTCCAGTGCAAGCCACACTGTATGCTGTGGCGTTAAGGAGGAAAGTGAACCAGCAACTGGCGGGCGGAAAAGTGCCAGTGTCACTTATGAAGGGGAGAGGTGTTAGGATGAGACCACGTGACTTGGAGATGGAATAGGACACTGCCAGTGTTATCGTGAGCAGAAGTAGATTTGCAAATGGAAGCCAAGCGATTCCTTTTGCTAGTCTAGTCACCATCAGGCTGTCTTCTTGTCACCGCTGAGAGCTATTTTAAGTACATAGTAGACTTATGATAGATGGGTCTCACGCACAAACTAGCATGTATTTATGGACCAGTACTATAGCAGAACCAATGCTAAAAACCCATAGTAAAAACGCCATTTGTTCAACAATCTTTTAAGCCAAGTTAATTTTTGAATTATATTTCTGCAAAATATAATTCGCTTACATTCGATCAGTTCAGTTCCTTTTAAATATTTGTACTCTCATTTGTCGTCTTATTGACATTTCGACTTAATGTCCTGTCGTCTTATTTACCTAGCACTTTCTAGTTATGATACCCTTCTATCATAAATGTACTTTTTACTATGCTGCTCACTCACAAAATGTTTCTTCGTAAAAAGCAGTTTTTAAACTGATTGCAATTATTTCGCGGTTTTTTGCTCTAATTTGCAAAACTTAGTACGTAAGGTGATAAATGCAATGTAAGCTGAGTTCGTATAGTTGATTGATGAAAGTTAATTGGTTGAGGACTTTTCTTAGTTATGACTTTGTCAATATACTAAAACGGTAAACAATATTTCATGTAATGACCTATCAAGCCTAATTTTATGTTATATTGACGGTAAGTTAAAATAGACATTGAGCATGAACTCAAACATCATAAATCACTCAGGTTTGCCTTCAAGTGGCGAAAGACTTTGAAGCGACATTCAAACAAGAGTAAAAGTCGACTACCGAATTTCAAAAAGGACCTTGAACAAAAAAGATCTTTTTAACAGTACCATTATGGAACCTGATCTAGACTACATTTTATGATTGGATAATTTAGATATTTTACCAATGTAAAGTATTTAATATTAACCAATCATGATCCATCTAACTAACAACCCACTTATTTGTAAGTGCTGAAGTTACTTGTAATTTCAGCACCAGAGAGATTTGAATTTAACTTAGAAATTAGTTGGACTCTCCCGAGCACTTCAGCAGCCGCAATAAACCAGTATACCCTAGATCTATTGAGCCTAGCAGAGACTAGTTAAACAACCTGAGACTAGATAGTATAAGAGTAAGATTAGGATCGGTATTAGACTAAGAAGTTGCACGAATCTATCCGGCCGAAAATAAGATAGCGTGACGAGCAGACGGTGTACCCTATCCGAAATTACTCTATGAGTTAACCAACTCGGTCCTAACTCATCTGGTGCGACCATAAGTCTCGAACAAGACCTTAATAGCTTAGAATTAACCAAAATAGATTAGAAATTAGACAAAAACATTTACAAAATGTTATACGACAATAATTTAATCGAAATGTCTCTACGACTCAATAGATCAGAGCCAATATTCCGAACCATAACAGAACTACCCGGAATTGGAAGAAGACCTCGAACCAGAGACGACATACGACAAAGTAGAAACTTGCCATATAGCTATATGATAGTTAGGCAAAAACCAGAACAAACTTTTATATTTAGAATACTACTGGCAATGAATTTAAATTTTCATTTGCAAACATAAAACCTTGAAGTTAATCTTCAAAATCATTTCAGGCGCTAAACAAAATTATTAATATACAATAACGATTGATAAAAAGATCTAAGATCGTTTTCCTAAAACTCTGCAATAAAAAACATGTTTGAAAAATATTTATTGAAAAATAAAAAATAAAAATTAGTAGCATGACAATAAATGGTTAGTAATCATAAATCATCCTGTTGTTCCAGCTCCATCATCTAAAACATAACAGCAATCATAAACCCACTAACATCATCAAAACACTAAATCTTTCCTTTACACACATTTAAAAATTTATTAAAACTTAAATTCACTTAATTTTAAAACCAGATCATCAAGGCTTATCCTTGGATCTTAAATCATTTTCTACTTAATTAAATTTCAAATTTGATCATCAAGGCTTATCCTTGGATCAAACAGAACAACTTTGTTCTCCCCCACCCACTTAATTAGTGTCTAACGACCTCAAACGTCGATTCACCACCCAACCCTTTCTAAAGACCCAAGACTAATAGAAATTTTTAAACAAAACTAATCATTCAAATTAGGATAAACAGTGAAGAACTTCGGTTATTCATCCTTCACTTGACCCCCCCTCTTACCAGACCCAGGATAAATCTTAGACTTAGTAAGTTTAAAATAGTATCTAACGAACTACTCGCGTTCTAATTATACCTGAACCTTGTGGATCGATTTAGTATTCTCCAACCCTTGAACACAATCACTACCCCTAAGTAAGATTAAGTAAGTTAACACCTTAACTTATACTAGCCACGAGAAAGTAAAAAATCATTCTTCGGAATCGATATACTTTTCTCTCCAACCCTGAACAAATAGACCCAGGTTAAGCTAACCAAAAAATCGTAAGAACTAACAGTTTAGGAAAATAGAAATCATTTAACAACCTTTTGCATCCGTCATCCTAAACCTTATGTCATTTAAAAACCTAGGAAATAAACAAACAATCGTTTTACACAATTGTGAAATAGATAACAAAAAATACGACCTTGTAATCACACCTCATACACAAACAGTTGGATACATTCGAACAAAACGACAAACACTAAAAAGAAAAATAATAACGAAACAAAGACAAATAACACGAAAAAGATTTTCAAAAAATCGAAACGCATTTTCAGAATCAGAAACCAACAGTTTAGACGAACTTTACAAACTAAAAGAATCAATAGATAAAAATTACCCACTTCACGATCAATTATATTTTTCTGACTCAGAAACAACTTCAAATTCATCAAAAAGAGGAAAAAGAAGAATAAAAAAGCAGTATAAACACAAACCAGTACATTTATACAATTGGAATCAACCAATTCGACACATTAATAATTACATATTAACAGTCATCGAACGAAAAAATGAGCTCAACGCACACCCCAGGTGAAGAAAGTCCAGATGATGATGAAATCTTTCCTTTTATAGTAGATGCAACCACTGATAGAGGACAGCATATATTTTGCAAAAATTTACTATTAAATTTATTTGAACCCGGAATCAGTCCATGTAAAACAGAGTTCCCAGATGTAAAAATCAAAAGACAAATCATAGACCACTACTTAAAAGATATATGCAACATAACACAACAGTATGGAATCTACTCCATAGAATTCACCTCACCAAACCATAATAATAGAAAATATACAATTCAAACAGACGATCTTGATTTAGAATTTTCAAAAGTTTTTTCAGAATATATAAAAAGCATCCAATATCATAACTCACAAAGAGCAAACTCCATATTCACCAATGAAGTTTTCGCAATAATATATAGTTATATTTCGATATTAGAAAACGAAATCCCAATAACAAATGTCTCACCGACAGAAACATCTAAACATTTAAGAGTACGACATGAAATCACACTACTCTCTAGTTATTTAAACATCATTAAAGAAAATTTCACGAAAGACGACGTTTCACAACATACAAAACACGATCTACAAAAAATTTTGGCATGGTTCATAATAGATTATTTCACACACAATATTGATTTAATTGCACAAGCAAGAAAAAATTTTAGACCCCAAAACTCGAACGATGATACCGCTATCACAGAACAATCAGATTATGTTTGGGACCCCGAATGGTCTCATCCCGCATTTATAAGCTTCCCACAAACAATCTCAAGTCAAGCAATAAGTACGATATCTTACATAAGAGATTATGTAAAAGTAATACCATTAACCATTGATGCGACACCATTAAACTATAATACATTTTTACCCGATACACAAAATAATAGTTTAAACTCTACAGTTATACACAATGAAAACCTCAATGGAACTAGGAATCTTACTCAACAAGATATCCAGACACCATCACACTTCATAAATGAAGAAATTGTACACACAACAACTACACAACAAAGTATTTCACCAATACGTCCAAATTTAACAACACCAAGAAATACAAATCCTTCACAAACACAGGTAACCTTACAATCAACCGTTAAACCTTCGGTTGCTCCTAAATATTCACATATGGATTACCAAACATACAGACCCATGACAATACCATCAAAAACACGCAAAACATTCACTAGAAACAACTTTACAGACCATAATTATAATTATACACATCCATCAAAAACATATAATCAACCACAAAGAAATTTTAACCAATATACAAGATCTCGAAATTGGGATAACCCAATGACCCAACCTAATTCAATAAATTTCCAAACAAATCCTCCACAGGATCACAGTGAAAATTACCCATTTTTTCAACAAAATAAAAATAAAAAACAGACATCTTATCAAATGGATTATTTATCCTCAGATGATGATTTCTTACAACCAGATATATTTGCACCAAATACTCAAGAATATCGTAGACAAGGAATACAGAGAACACGTACAAATCATAGAAATTTTTCTCCACAACCAATAGATGCACAACATCAACAACCAATTCAACAACAAAATCCAATGACTGCACACTCGTATCAACCATCACAAATGCAAAATGAAATACCACTTCCATATTATCTCCAACAACATGAAATAACAAGAAACCAACTTTCGAATTTTTCTCAAATGCCAAATGCAGCAGAATCATTACAAATGACAATGAATCCATACCTTATGGGTGGATCATCAATAACATCAAACAAACCTTTAATGGTTTTCACAGGAACAGACCCTGAATACTCTGTAGAAGATTATTTAAATGCAGTAACAGCAAACCTGATTTTAAATATAGGACCTGAACCAATTAATACGCCACTACATCAAAATTGGATACATCGACGCACAGCGTTAATACAAACAACCTTAGATGGCGCAGCCCAAAAATGGTTTTCAGTACTACCTCTAGAAATAAAATCAAACTGGAAAAGGTTTACACAGGAATTTTCAAAAATGTTTGACTCCGAAAGAAACAAACAACAACAAAGAGTTTTATGTAATGAAATTCGCAGATTACCAAACGAAACCATCAAGCAAATAGCAGTACGAATCGAAACACTAGTTCGAAAAGCATATTCATTAAATACACATGACTATAAAAACACAAAGATGACAGAAATCTTAATGATGACCTTAACACCACAATTAAGGAAAATAGCAATAAAAAAGAGAGCATCCCATCCTTCTTCAATTCGAGAACCCGATTTAGATTTTCGAAAACTAGTAGACAAATTAGAACAAGCAGAAATCACGATGAAACTAGAAGAAACGGAAAATCTGAAATTACAATACATTAACAGAATTGAAACGACTCCCACTAATATTAATAATATACAGGAATCAGAGACAGACCTCGTTGAAAAAATCACTGAAATACTCAATATTTATGAAAAGAACCCAAACTTTAAAGGCAAACCATCTTTCAAAAAATGGTGTAATTATTGCCGACGATACGGACATAGTATTTCCGAATGTAGACAAAAACAGCAAGACAATCAAAATAAACCTCAAAAATATAAAGAACCAAATAAATCATTCTATCAATACATGAAAAAAGATCAAAATCTACCGAACAAAACAGTTTACAGCAAAAACAGTTCAGGAAAACCACTCCCGAACAATACAAATTATACAAGAAATCAATCACCATATAACTCAAGTTATA